GTTTCGCTCCAATCCCAAACTGCTATACAGACACGTAAACAATTTGCGCCGTGTTAAGCGCGGTATTCCTGCTCTGCACACAGCATGCGGGTTAGCCCAAACCGCACAAGAGGCGGCCAACGTCCTTGGACAACAATTTGGCCGTACCTTCCATAGCGCGCAATCATCATACATCCTGCCTAAGCAGATAACGCCGCCATCAGGGCTTAATCACATATCGTTCACCACCGCAGCTGTACTGAAGAGACTGATGTCTCTGCGCGAGTTCAGCTCCCCGGGTGCGGACGGCATTCGCCCGAAGGCGTTGAAAGTTGCTGCCATGAGTTTGGCAGGACCACTAGCAATTTTCTTTCAACGATGTCTGAACGAGATGCACGTCCCCACGATGTGGAAGCACGGAATCATCACGCCTATCTACAAAAGTGGTAGCCGTGCTGAACCAGCAAATTATCGCCCGATAACACTACTTCCTGTGATCTCCAAGGTTATGGAGTCCATTGTAGCTGAGGCTTTGATGGGGTACCTGGAGAACAACAAAATTCTCGTTCCGGAACAGCATGGATTTCGCAAAATCGCTCCTGTACCACTAATCTGTTGATTGCTCGTGCAAGCTGGACGGAATCTGTGGACGCTGGTGTAGGAGTCGACGCGGCCTACTTGGATTTCTCAAAGGCATTCGACCGTATAGACCATCGCATTCTCCTCCACAAACTCCAGAAATATGGAATCGGCGATCCTGTTCTGGGCTGGATAGGAGACTTTCTCGTTCAACGTCACCTGAATGTGAGGGTTAGAAGCAACCTGTCGGAATCCATCGAAGTTCAGTGCGGCGTACCTCAAGGCTCGGTACTTGGACCCCGCCTGTTCCTGGTTTTCATAAATGATCTCGCGAGCGTGCTATCTTCTAACTGTTTGCTATTTGCTGATGACCTAAAGGTATGGCGCATTATAGCTGCAGTGGAGGATCACACAGTGTTACAGGAGGACCTGGACAAAGCGTACACATGGTCCATCGAGAACATGCTGCATTTCAACGTCACCAAGTGCAAAGTTCTCAGCATACGGCACAAGAGTATGCACAAGTACCGCCTAGGACCACAAATTCTACAGCGGGCTTCTCACGAGTGCGATCTCGGCGTGATAGTTCAAGACGACCTCGGTTGTTTGAGGCAGACTGAAAAGGCAGCTAAGAAAGCAAACCAGTACCTCGGCCTTCTTCGCAGAGCTTTCAGGAAGTTTGACCCTTCAGTCTTTCCAAAAATGCTTAGTGCGTACGTGAGGCCGCACGCGGAATACGCTATTCAAGCGTGGCAACCCTGGCTCAAGCACCATCTCACCGCGCTCGATACTGCACAACGTAGGGCAACGAAGAGCGTCAGAGGTTTGACCAGCCTCCCCTACCCACTCAGGCTGAAGACCCTCAAAATATACAGTGGACGTTATCGGCGTCTAAGGGGCGATCTCATAATGGTGTACCAGATCCTGAGAAACCCCAACCACCCATGCCATTCCCTTCTAATACTCAGTCAAAACACCTCGCTAAGAGGTCACCAGTTTAAGTTAGTCACGCAGTACAGCCGCCTGGAATGTCGGCGAAACTATTTCTCCCTTCGAGTGTCACAGCCTTGGAACGCCCTCCCGGAACATGTAATTAATGCACCCACCCTATCCCTTTTCAAAAATCGCCTTGACGATACTCTGTCACATTTACACTACGTGCTATAGCCCATGACCACCAGATGCTGGCACTAATGCACAACAGACAGTGGATAGTGCCATAACCCTACTCGAGAATGAGTCACTCCAAACGCCTTGCACGAAATTTGATAAACGCTACTACTATAGAAACTGGATTTCTGTATCCTGTCGACCCAAGATAGTTGCACACGAGTAAGCGTTGTCCTTGCTATCTTTTTATTTTTTCTCGCCTATTATGTGATCAATAACCACTCCCCTTATTGCTTTGTGTGCGTACATTCTCATTTCAAACTCCCTTTATACGACAGTGCAGTTACATCTGTAATCGCCCGAACTGACGACTCCATTATCCCTTCTCTATTTTTTGTCACGCTAAACACCCTACGGGACATGTCAAGCACCTGCTTTTTTACCCGTTATAAATCATTGTTCATTGTTCATTAACACCATCAGTTATTGGGCATGTACTTATTAGATTAGCGATTGTATTAAGTGCACTCCATCCTGATTGGCTGTTCATCGAAGTATGCAGTGAGTACGTGGATGAACAACCAATCAGGACGAAGCTCAGTTAATATCGTCAATACTCTATATAAGGACAGTCAAATAACTGATGGAGTCCATTCCTAGATTTGGCTGTTACGATTTTTGGCGACCAAGCTACAGCCGACACTACACTGGTGATGTCACCTCGATTGGTGACGTAACGTCTGCAACCAAATTGTCAAGCTCGGCAAACAACTGAACAGCTGAACTGAGCTATTAGTTCGGAAATGGCTACTCATTCTTTGCCAGATCATTAATAACTGAACTGAGGTAACACTGTGCTGAACCGCTTGTGTATACATTCCGTTTTATTTAAATGAATGTGAATTTAGCGCCATCTCGCGTGACCATTAACATCCCTTTGAGCTGGCTGCATTTGACACAGTTGCCTGTGCATTGCCTGATCATATGTTGTGCGTAAAAGCTGTTTTAAAGGCTGTGCATGCAGAAGACAAAGATGACATTAACGGTTCACAATTTGTGTAAAGTGTCCCCATAAGTAAGGAGCCTTGCTAGCGTGTTTGTATGTATGCGTGGAGACGTCCATTCGAAGTACACGTTGTGAGTGGATTGCGATAGGTAATCTTAATCTGGACCGAAAATCACTCTGAAATCACTCGGGAAACCCCAATAGTCCTGTTTGAATGAGGATAGCTTTCGGTCAGAAACAGCTTCTCAATAGACGTCGGTGTGAGACTAACGCTAGTCTCAATCTTCACAAACACACCATCAACATTGTAAGAGGACAGGTGATAGCAGGTTATCAGAAGTGGATTTTAAAACTGAAAGACAGTTACAATCATTATGTGCGATCTTCCATCAACGATGTTCTAAGGAAAGATACATGCTGGGATACCTCCAGTCAAACCTCAACCACGCAGGCTCAAATCGATTAGTTGTGGATTACAGGCTGAGCATCGGTACCACCCAGCTACCGGTCTACGGCGAGGTTATAACTAGTATGCCATATACCCTACAACTACTTAGTGTTTCTGTACTAATAATTGCGAAAAGAATGGAGTCCTTAGCACAAATAAATATTCAAAGTTTGCACACAAGCTGACGTACCACGGTGGGGGCGTATGGTATTGCCACCTATGAGCAATGCAATTATAACAGAAACAAATCAGGATCACGTTGCTTCTCCGACCGAAATTTACCAAACCGCTCTAGCCGGTAAATAGTTTTTTCTCGGTTAACATAAAGTTGCAGTCGTAGAGTTCGACTGTGCAAACTCGTGAAAATCTGTTTGGCGGGTAAATCAGCTTTTGATAGTCTTGCGATATCAATACGTAGTTCAGTAACCAGGACGAAGCCACGCACCTCATCTGCGACTACTCTGCATTTACAAGGAAGTGCAATGACATGCATTACTTATCAGCAATCGGCAGCTGCGATGGTGGGATTCGCATCAGGCTAACCCCTCTGTCGGTACACAGGTTGCCGGTTCGACAATTCTGAAATTACATGCGGAGCAATCAAATGAACATGTGATTGCAGTATCGTACCCGGCCTCAGGTGTGATGCAACGACAATTATGGGGGCAGTTCAATCTCACCGTCCACCAAAACTACTTGACGAGCAACTCACCATTTACCTCTACATGACCTAAACCAGCGGGAGACGGAAGGGGTCCAATATCATCAGCACAACCCTTTGTTCTACGTGACAGTATGTTTTAGATCATCAGTAATCGTGTACAAAGCGGCTTACTACCTCCTACGGCACTTGCACTAATTGAACATACAGACACTCTAAGTAACGTTCCGGATGCTTGTAGCTGCTTCCTTGTGAAACCAAACACATCAATCTAAAATAGCTATCTGCGATACTTCCATGGACCTGGTTCTTGCAAATATCGTCAAACTAGAGCAGGGTTCAGGCTGTAGCGCCCCGCAAGTGTGTCCGCAATTGACCAACTGCCGTGATCAACACAGCGTTTGTACCTGAGTCTGCAGAGTGCGTCAGATATGTGTGCATCTTTCAACAACGCACTTGTGTGCTTCTAGGAAACACCGGTATCCATAACGTTTGTCCGGCTAAGTAATCAGCAATTTATGTTGGACAGAAAATGCTCACAAGTCGGCGCCTACATTTGGGAGGGGGTACACAATCCGTGTGCGAAGCCATGGATTTGACTCTACAATTTGATGGCATGCAGATTAGATAGGCGGATCAGCGTTACAGATGCTGGTGTTCCCTATATACGTGCAAGTGTGTGTTTGGTAGGTACTAGTCATGGCTGAATTGTGGGGATAGACCCAAACATATCGGACACACCGTATATAAGTAAGTCATATGCAATCAGCGCCTAGTTATACACCTTTTAAAGCTGCGAGCATGACAATGCCACAGGTATCAGCGGTGAAAAATAAAAGAGCAGTGCTTCTCTCAACGGGATATTTACATTGCTCCAACAAATGTGGGAGGTGAAAGCACTAGGAAGATATCAGGTCACGAGCATTGCAATCAATGCACAGTGATCTTCTGACTAGCACACTATTTGCCCCGGAATCGGGGCGACAATTTAGGAAACTGTTTGTTTAGCTGCACCAAGAGTAACACAGCATGTTTCACGAGCACATGGAACAAGTCAAATACACCCACCGGAATGGCCTCTCAGCTGTGCTCTCAAGCACAAAATATAATCACGATGGTAAATGGGGGATCACGTTTTCAGAAGAATAGTTGTATTGATCGCCATTTATCTTTATCCTCGTTTAATCTGAAATTGACCTAATACTGTTTCCCACCAGGCTATGGAAGCTGATGTGGTCGCATGCTGTGAGTTAGCAGCCCGATCGCTCCAAGAAAGCTGGGACATGAGGGATCAAACACTTGAAGCATGTCAATCTGTGCAGGTGAGTGAATCACTTTTAAAAAACTGTCCCATCTAAAAGGTAAACGAAACAAGCTTCCAATCTCTCTCTGCATCTACTAAATGTTACCTGGGTCAAGCATTCTGTGTACCTGGTAGTGTAGTGGCAACTGGAAGCACCGGAAAGCGTGAAAACACGAGATTACCAAGTTAACTCAAGCGAGCCAAAGCGGTATAATTGACATATAGCTAATCCGTTGGGTCAATGTGTCCAACGCTAATCGTTAGTCATCGTGTTCACTATTGCATCGAGCTAGTTTCATTGAACTCTCCGAGTTTTGCTCGATGTTAATATAGGATAAACATCAAAGCCGTAGCCTATAAGCGGCAGATTCGCTTGGGGCTCGCGTGACTCGCAAAAACTCCCGGGTCTAGCCAAGAAAGGAAGCCGAGACTTTAACTGCGGTACTAGTAAACAAAATAGAATTCAACTACATATTTACATAACTCAACAGTGCTCGTTCAGTCCTGAAAAGACCGGGCCTTCGTACAGTTACACAATGAAATGGCGTCAGCACACTTGCTACTGTACAGCAAGGTCACACAGCACAGATACAAAGAGAGGAATACGAGGATTCTTTTTAAGATGTCTTAAATGTTATTTCATTGGTCCGCGGCACAGCGTACAGGAAGATACAAGGTGCCATTACATTCAAATAAAATGAGAGTAACGCGTCTTGATGCGGATATGGGATCAAAGACCAACAAAGGCCTGGGTGTCCTTTGGGTTAGTAGCACGGAGGGGAGTGCACAATCGGAGCAAATCCATGCCGAGTGGTGGGACACATGGGCTTGTTACACAGTACCGGAGCCATTGTAACTTGCAGCGGTGTTGGGATGGAACCATGTAGACGTGGTTAGGAAAACAATGAACCGCACAATAGCCCGTAAGAGCAAGTGTCAGATAAGGTTATCGGTAGATACTACTGCTCCGGGTATAAGTAGTGTGGTGGTGCAAGATGACACACCAACAGCGAGCCTTGCCGACTTCCCCAAAGTTGAAGATGACATCAGGATTACAGTTCCATGCGCACGAGGAGTGAACACAGAGGCAAGCATCAGTTGGGGAACACTCCATGGAGATCACGCAGATGAGCGAACGCCTCCAAGGTATGAACGAACACACCTAGTGTAAGCCACTTTAGCAATGAACAAGTTACCACCTGCCCCTTGGGTTTTAACACCTGGACTTGTTACGCAGTATGGGCGCCATTGTAACTTGCAGCGGTGTTGGGATGAAACCATGTATAACGTGCTTAGGAAAGCAATGAATCGCACAATAGCCCGCAGGAGCAGGTGTCAGATATGATTGTCGGATCTAGTCTCGATACCGTGGTGTGAGTTGCAATGAAAACATGGAGCACTGTGTAGTTAATCGCATGGAGTAGACAAGTAATGGGTTATCCATGATCTCGGAAGAAGGCGCAGATGATGTGCTCATCGGACTATGATCTTGACATGTAAGCTGCGGTTTTCATGACACTTCTTCCGCCTACATAACTCAATGATGCAAATGGTATGATCCGCATTCATTGGAAGGTCAAAGGATTATCAAAGCTTATCAGTAAAGCGGAAACCATTGTTGCCCACAAACTTTCCTGAAGAAAAGAGTAGGGTAGTTTAAGAAGGCATAAGTATAATGCTGTGTAAAATGCGGCGCATGGAAAGATTTAGCGGGCAAATCCAAGTGCTCGATCTGGATGAGCTTTAATGCAAAATTCTTGTGATAAAGGGACAAGCTGGATGCATTGTCTATCAAAAAAACATTAACGTATAGCATTTGAAAATGAGTAATCAAATCATGGTTGAACCTATTTGAAATAAACGTCATCTATCAGGTAATATAGTAAATGGGCCTTTCGCTGATTAGTAACACTTAGTTCCTCAATCAGTTTAAGAGCCTGTCACATATTGAAAGCGTAGTGCATCCGTATGCCAGTCAGAGTTCAAGTTTGGTCATCGTTAACACTTTTCTTTTGCTACAGCGATTCTATATCGCGACTTTTCACACCTACCTACCATCACAATTACCTTCCTTCGAAAGTACTCTTAAAGCATCAGGCTGTGATAATAAGCTAAGAACATGTGTGGAGTCGTCCAGACAGCTTCAATGTGTGGAAGTGCTTCGAGGTTGTGCCTCCTAACACAGACACTTCACAACTGTTTTCGTCCTCGTTTGGATCCGTCGTATGGAGATAGCTTGGAGTGAGGTGGAACTCAGAGCCTATTGGTTAACGGCTGACGCCTTGAGCACTATACCACTATCCGTAAGCAACGCTTGGCACATCGGTAAGGAGATCGAATCTGGATCTAGTGTCCACTGTATAGCTGGATTACGGCCCGCAACCTCACTTATGACCTTGATTCACGTTGAAGTAGACCAGTCATTCAGTTCACAATGGACCGAAGTCTCAAAAGAGATTGCGTGTCGCAATCCAACCACACGGTGGATACACTAAATCCAATTTTGGGCTTCAAGGCGGTTTTCATTGATCAAAGCTAGTCCAGTATCGCACGCCTAACTTCCGTAACCGACTGAATACGTCTGCAACAAAGAATGTAAAGGGCATGCGCTATCATTCTTACCACCGAACGCTGAAGTTTCTGGGAATTTTCGCCGGACGCTTTCGAAGGCTGCGTGATCATCTCATATTAGCGTATCAGATATTGAGTGACCCCAACCACGTATGTCGCCATTTGCTGAAACTTAGCCACAACACGCAGCTTAAAATTGAAGGAACAATATAACCGTCTAGAGTGTCGACGAAATTAATTTTCCCTTCGGGTTTGCCAATTCTGAAACGCATTCCCAGACCCCGATGTTTGCTCCCCCACCAAGGACGTTTTCAAAAAGCGATTAGATGTTTCTCTTAGCTCCCAGCACTTTATTACCTAAACTCCTCTATTGTGGATTACGCCAAGCATGCTTTTCAACAGGATTTATGTATTAAATGGACCCAAGTGAGCGACGCTATGTTACTTTGCTCACACCTTCTATCACCGACCACTGCACCCCACTGTATTTTTGAACTTCTACGCTCGAGTTTTTTTAATTTTACACTGATATTGTTTAGCAACACGGCAGACGTTTGGTAGATGACCGACACATATTTTGATTGCATCATATTCACCCCAACCATCCTGCGGACGTGTCAGGCACTTGCTTTTATCCCGTGATAAATCATTGTTCATTGTGCTGTTGCGCTTGTAATTGACAGTGCACACACAAAATGAAAGCCCCATCCGTGTTGCTATGCTCAGCCGAGCACTCAGACTAGCAGGACTACGCGTCGCTGGAAGACCATTTAGTTCACTCAGCCTATAAATCTTTGATGCGCTCCAGACTTTGGTAAATTGGAACAATGAAAAACACGTACTCAAATTGATTCTATTTACCGCCGGATTTGAACGCGTATCCTTTTGTCTCGTCATAACCTACGTACCGCTGTTCGTCTGCTCACTGCTTCACCCACCACGTAACTGTCGGCCTCTACGTGCTGCACCGTACCATTATCCTCAAAGCGGCCACTATGGTAAGCTACCCATAAGGCCCAGAGCAGTCCGTCATCATCGCAGTGACTATTGTACGCTCAACATTCTGAGCAACTTGGAGCGGTGACTTATTCCGCAAATCCATAATGATTCTTCGGATGGTGTGCGCATACCGCCCCTTATAATATGAATATCCTCTGGGTCCATCTTCGAATATAAATTCAACTTTCGGAAATATACAAATAATGAACACTTTGACATTTTTCGTTGCCAGGTATGTCCCACCGTCCACCCAATGTTACGCACTCATTTCAACGACCAGAAAGTGTCATTCACCTAATGTTTATGCACTGTGAGAACAGTTGAATGGCTACTATCTATTCTCAGTAACAGAAACCACTTCAATCTACGTTTCATACAGATAAACATGCTCGAGATTATCGCTCGCGTGCATAAGCAACACCCATAACTAATCAAAGTAAACGATCATGAAACTCACTAAAAGCAGCTGATTTGTGTTACTTTCGTGAAATGACTTCTCTGTAGCAATGACTCGCAATATCTGTAACTCGAGTTCGTTGGTATGGTGTCGGTTGATTTTCCCGGTCAGACCATTCCGCAGCAAACGTTTGGTCACCAGTTGATGTTGCATCGTCTGTGATTTTCTGTTTATAAGACTATCTAATTGAACGGGTCTTGGGTCCTATCCCGAAGATCAAGTGAGGTTTAACAATTGATTGCATCACTCTGTGTCCCTTGACTTTTGCACCGACGGTCACTTTTGTGACCAAATTGCCCGATTGATTTGGCGGTAGTTCCAGTCAGCAAACGGAACACAACGGTATGGGGCACTTCTTCGCATGGTGAATTTACTTTAGGTCGAAGCGGGAACTCCCCACTCACTCGGTAGATTAGGGTGCAAATTCGATGAAATGCACTGGAGTCACCACTCAATCATGCAAGGTCCTACACTTCTGAAAAAGCATTAGAAAGCCCCTCAGCATTTCTGGTTCTCGTCAGCGTTGCGCATCTCAGACCCCCTGTAGAATTCCAACCCCATAAGTTCCGCATGCCAGCAGCTTATACCATTAAACTATGGGTGATGGCGGCGTACCTACGTGAATGGCAGCTAACCATGATATAGCGCGGTTCTTCATCCAGTGTCAAGCCAGTTACAAACTGTGCAGAGGACATGGTTGGCCCCGTAGCTGCGACTTTCCGCGAACAGACTGTGTACAACACACCACTTAGAAGATGTATGAACGATTTTTTTGGGAATGGGTAGTGAGGATGAGGGTGTAATTTAACTACAGTTGATCGCATCCATCTCATAATTTCTTTCTGTTCTCCACACTCTTTCTCTGCAGCAAACACAGTCTTCTCACTCTTATTCGACATACGCTAGTGTAAAAGGATGTATTATTATTATTATTATTATTCAACACTTGATCAATATATATTTTGCAGTGCCACAACACATAAGTAAAAACAAAGAACGGGGAAAATAGGGGTAGTCGGTGGAAGGGTTTGGAAAGTTTATAAGGTTAATGTGTTGTATGGGCAGTGATCTTCTTGCTTGCCCAGGCCGAGGAATTGTAAACGGATGTGCTCATTTGTGAACTATTTACGGGAAACTGGAATGGACGACACTTATTCCTAGCCGGAACCGGCTCTATGGACAATGTGACTATTTTCTAGCCGGTCTCAGCGATTCGTAAATTGGCACATTTACCTGGATATCTTCGTTGGAGCAGACGCCGGCTAAGTAAGGTCAGGTCTAGTTATTGCTATTGGTGACTGGTTATTAGCGGCCGAGTGAATTTGGCGCACCGACTAGCTTTGACAGCTTTACAAACATGTGCAGACACCGGTTTAATAACGGCTAATTGAGCACTCAGAACTCCTGGTTAGATTACACAGACGCTGTTGACGGCAATCGGTGATTCTCCGGGGTCGACATTTGGTTGCAAATGTTTGACGCTAAAGTAAGTAACATCGTCCGTGCAAGTTACAGCTAGAAACGATGTTGTTACTTCTGCTGACAATCCATTCGCATAAGCACACAGCCAGTTCCTGGATGAATTGCGGCAAAATGCAGTCATCAAAATTTCCCCTTCCCTATTGCGCAGTGTGCCAGTGATGATCCACCGAACTCAACCACAGTGTTGCGTTTTGCTAGTCCACTTTCTCAGCATAACGGGGGGGCACAACCGCTTAGGTGAAGAACAATGGAAATGACTGAGTGGCGCTGAGAAAACGAGAACCAATAAACGCAGATTTATTTAGGAGGACATGTCATTAGGCACGTTGTTTGGATTTGTAATGTGCCACTCGTATTTCGTCTCAGAGAAGACAAAGCTTCTCTCTCGTAAACCCTGATGCCAAATACCAATTTCAGCTTTCCGGAGACCCAGAAACTTCTGCCACTGGCTAAGCTGGTGTTGAGGTTGCACTGAGTGCCAGAGCTGAATCATCTCTGCTTGACTGGATCCCAGTGAACAGACGGTTATGCGCAGTCCGCTTAAGAAGTTCATATAATGTAAGCGGGTGTCGTAACGTTAACCGTGCCTTGTTTGTCGTCTCCGCCTACGTCCCTACAGACTGCAGCTCGGATGCAGTCAAGGATAGATGTTACCAGCATCTACATGAACTTCTGCTTTCCTCCAAAAGGACTGATATAACCATTCTTGCCGGGGACTTCAACGCACGTGTGGGCCGTCGTCCATGAAGCGAGCACCACCTTGGGGTTAGTTTTGGTCTCGGTGGCAGTCGATCAGACAATGGAGACAGACCGCTTGCTCTTTGCTCTGATCATCACTTGTTTCTTTCGAGCACTAGTTTTCGGCAAGCGATGAGACACTGCTACCTGGTGACCGCCCTCACAAACGCAAGAGTGCTCCCGGCTTGACCGCATAGCAATCAGCTACAGACGGCGCGGAAGCGTAACGGACTGCGGATCGTACTGCTCAACTTATCTAGACTCCGAGCACACATTGGTTCGTGCTCAGATTTGCATGCGCTTCGGATGATTACCCAAGCGCGCTCACTACCTACCGGAAGTAGCAAATCTACAAAACCCTGCGCTTGTAACCAGTTATCAAGCCCCACTGCCAACATTGCTTGGCTCAACTACTGACGGTGACCTCAATGCGCAGTAGGCGAAGATCAGAGATGCCTTAATTTCCGCCAGTATCGACACTTGTGTAGCTGCTCCTCACCCACCGAAGCACTGGATTTCCGCCGTCTTTTTGTCGCTGCTGGACAAACGCCGCTTGATCTCCTCGGATTCCAGACACAGTGAAGAACGCGAATCCCTGGGTAGAGAGTTGTGCAGGTGTCTGCAAATGGACCGCGAAGTTTGGTGGTGTGAATGAGCTAGGGAGATGGAGCTTGCTAGTCTCTCTGATAATGATAGAAAACTTTTCCATCTCATTCGAATCACCGAAGGTGTTCGAGCTGGTATAAGTGAAGCAATGTGTGAAGAGGATGACATCTTGACCACCAATCTTCAACCACGGTTGAAGCGATGGGCCGAACATTTTGGCGCACAGTTTTGTTGGCAATCAGCTCCATCTGCTACCTAAGGCGCTCCCACTGGTGCCAGATGGTCTACCCCCATAGACCCTCCCTCTTACCAGAAACGCAAATGAGAGATCCGCCACATGAAGCGATATAAGCCCCCGGGCCTGCTGGTTTTCTTCCAGCTTTATTTAATGATGGTGGTGTTTCGCTGGTTCGAGAACTCACTGCTTTGTTCTTAGAAGTTTGGTCGACCGAAGAACTTCCATGATCTTGGGTGAATCGATAGTCGTCCCCATTTCAAAATGACCTGCGTACAATCTGTTCCAACTACAGAGGCATAAGCTTAGTCCCCATCGTATGCAAGCTGCTGGCATTCATCATACTTCGCAGGCTATCCCCAACACGCGAATCGTTGCAGCGGGAAGATAATGATGGGTTTCGCCCTGGTTGCGGCTGCATCGATCAAATCTTCACACTGCGCCAGATCCTCGAGCTCTGCCGTATGTATCAGAGGCCAACAATTGTTGTGTTCATGGATATCCGTGCAGCCTTCTATTCTGTCGATCGTACAGTACTGTGGCACTTCCTGCTGAGGAATGGTGTCCCCGAGAAGTTCGTCTCCATACGGCGCTCTCTCTATGGTCTGACCTCGGGCAGAATTAGGGCTTATGGTAAGCTTTCGCCTTCCTTTGTGCTCTCCCGTGGAGTTCGAAAAGCATGCCCTATCTTTCCGTTCTTATTCAACCATTCCATTGAGGAGGTCCTAAAGCACGCTCTGGGCGATTCGTTCAACGCTGCAATTGAGCTCCTCCCAGTTAACCGAGTTGTTGATTTGGATTATGCTAATGATATCGTGTTGTTGGTTGACGATTCACATGCCGTCCAAGTCGCACTAAACCGCCTGGCAACTGAAGCCTAAAAGTATGGTATATAGTTTTCGCCATCCAAATACAAGATTGTCTTCCAAGACTGGAAGGTGCCACTGTCTGCACTCACACTTGGTGGTGAGACACTGGAGGTTGTGGAGAGCTTCGTCTACTTGGGAAATTGCATCGCTGCTGGCGGGCCAGTTGGAGACGAGATTTCGATGCGCATCTCGAGAGCAGGCCTCGCTTTTTCTAGGCTGAGGCATTTGTGGCGTCGCCACGACATTCGTCTCTCCATCAAAGGGCGGGTCTATTGTGCAACTGTTCGTGCTGTACTGTTGTACGGATGCGAGACCTGGCCCATTCATAAAGATGACTTGCTCAGGCTATTCGTCTTTGAGCATCGCAGTTTGCGGTCCATTGACCGTGTGTGGTGGCGGCACCACGGAAGTAACGTGGAAGTCAGACAGCGTGTCTTGGGACGAGGAAGCCATTAGCTCGAGGAGCTCGTCTGATTGCATCAACTTCGGTAGCCGGGACACGTATTATGCATGCCTGTACAGCGATACTTGGGTCGTGTTTTGGTTGTGGTTGCTGGACAGGACTGGCAGAGTCGGTCTGGTGGGCAGCCTACAACTAGGAGAAACCGCATGAAAGAGTTGACAAAACAGTTGGTCTCGGCCGGTTTTTGTCGACTACCTGGTTGTGGTCCGAGTGATGCGGATACTTGTTGGTTGAAGACCTTGCAAGCCATGACGCAAGGTCGATGTCAGTGGCGGAGGTGCGCATCGGTGTCTTGAGTTGTGCCTCCTTCCTCCCTCTAAAAAAGCAAACCGAAAAATAGTCAAAAACTGTAAGTGGCAAACTGGTCAAAAAAGCTTTTGTTATGGTTGTTGTTATTGTTATTATTATTATTATTATTGTTATTTTCCTATTATTCCTACTGTTTTCCGACACAGTCTTGATTCCGAAGGCACAATATCTGTACCACAGGTTGTGTAATATATATATATATATATATATATATATGCCGAAAGGATGTTATGACGACAGCCAGTTGTAGCGACACAGTGCCTTCATTTGAATGCGATTAGGTTACAATAATACCAGGCCTCTTTGTGCTTCGATTGGGGTAAGTGATTAGACATTCCTACTGAGTGAAGGTATGCTTCGTGCTCTGCAACACCATTTCAAGTTCTCGATGCTTGTTTAGTAGTGCATGCATTGAAAAATGAACTTTTCTATCACCGGAAGTTTTGGGCGGACATGTCTAGGTGCGTCAAGCACTTGATCAGTCTTGAGCATCTCATATTGTTACCGGATACCTGCAATGGAACTTTCTGTTTATATTCATCAGGTTGTTTAGACACAACCATCTAACATCTTTCCAATGATTAATCAATTAAGCCTTTCGAGGATGCCCGTCTCGTGGGAGATCGCTCATGTTGACTGGGTTCAAAGTTGTGTTGAACTATTACTTAATTACTATACATCATTCCGCACCAAACACCTCAATAATTAGTTTCGCTTACCTCATGGTTTTCACCAGGATATTTTAATCCAGTGTCTCTCCTAGCTCCGTGACACCACGAGTAGTTTGTTTGCGGTCGTCACTCATAAACCACGTAGGGTCGGTATTTGGTTTTGGCACACTGTTCTCTAATTTGCAACTTATTGGGATCTATCGTTATCTCCTCAATTCTCTCATTCAATTTTTCAGGATCAAAGCAGCTCCGCGTTCACCGATATTCTTTCGTCAAGGGATTTGCTTGAATCCGAAAATTGCAAGTCAAAAGAAATCATAGACCGACTGGAAAGTCAACTTTTTGCAATTGAACAAAAACGTGTCACTGCGGTAAGGCAATGCACATTTAGTTTTTTCTCATACTAATCAATCTCAATGCAAATGCGGCTGATTTCAGTGGCCTACTGCAAATTCAGTCCCTCGCATTCGAGGTAATAAACACTACGCCTGTGCTATCTGAGAATGCGGGTCTAATGCATGATGAAGCTTCAATGGAACGGGCTATCTAATCGGCATATTTAAGGCTCATACAGAACGTAGCACAAATGAACAACTCCAAAACCAGGCACAGGATATGAGGTTAGATATATAACACAATCCGATTGATCAAACACATTCTTCCCTATTGTACACAACACGATAATCCCACAGACTGCATGCGAACAGATGCTGAGAATATTCGAAATATCTGAATGCAGCTTATCCCGTTAAAAGGTCGTTTCCCCTAATATTACAAATACAAACCTTCAATATGTTATTATTATTACTTACTGCTAATTACATAGAGATTTTGTTTCGGTAGTATTTAAGACAGATAGCCGACTACCCATGCGGAAACGTACCTTACAGCTGTTTAGCCCTGCTGGGATTCGTCTGCTGTGCACGTTCGGCGGCTGCACCAAGAACTAGACCCACCAATTCTGAACACTATCAAACAGTTTATGCCGGTTGGCCAAAGGCTGTGACGCCAGACCGTCATAACCAACAGGCGGACTGCACTACAACGCGACTCATCCTCCGTTGCAGAGAACATGCCTGAGCCTTAGAGTTAGGCCTCGCTGCAGGGACAAATATGTTGGGGAATAAACTGCTGGTGTCGACCTGTCATGGGAGCGATTCCTAATTCAACTTGTGTATCCACAAGGCTGACAAGTCCAATAAATACGGCATAGCTGTTTGATGTCTTTTCTGGTAAGTTATTCTCTAGTTGACTTGGAAGCTACCGCATTCAAATCGTATTAGAGAAGCTAGTTCGAAATTCTCCAACTAAGGAGTAATAAATAATAAGCATTAAACAACAGTCAGCGTAATTAATAGTCCACAATATCCGTCCATGAAGATTAGGGAAAAGGTACATACGCAGTCTTCTGCCAACCACCACTGTCTAACTGACACCATATATGTAAGATTCTGCAAGACTACTGGATTCCTCTCTAGAAGATGTTAGTCTGGAGGATAGGAAAAATTGTAACCGCTCAGTTGAATAGACTCTCTTTCGTTCATTTCGATCTAACTGTTGCCAAGCTGCAATCCCATGTCGACATTCCTCAACGAATAGACAGAAAGCTTTCGGTAGCCAAGGGACCCATGCAGAGGATCATAATCATCATCATCATACACGTTAGCTAGATGTGGGAAACACCTCAGCCACTGTGCCGCAAAACATAGAATAAAAGAGAAAAATGCAACTGGTGCAAGTCGGCTGAGCTACTGGTAACGGATGGGTATCATTCCGGTAAGTTACCAGCCGGCTACTGTGCATCAAAAAAAATTACTATGCAAAATTGTATGAGGCTAAATAATGAGATCGTGGTTGGAGGGGAGGCTAAGAGGGATGGGGTGGGACAAAGAAACTCACAGTAAGAACGGCACTGAGGTCGGCTCCTAACCATATCAGCAAGTGTATCCAACCAAACATGATCATCGTCTTTCGGAATCCAACCAGGGAGCCGTGACGCTCCAACTGAGGCCAGCTCAGAAGTGAGGGCCTTCATTCCTCTGGACTAAGTTATCGCTTGGCCACCCCTCCTCTTCTTCCATACACACCCCCCGGCGAGCAAACAACACACGTCGCCGGAGTCGGTGGGCTGACAAGCGTAACACGTGGCACAGCCATCGGAGCCTGATGCATGAAATAACGGTGCTGAGCGGTTCATTTCCTTTTCCTGTGCCGTAAACAAGGCGTCGAACAAGCTCGTTGCCAACTCAGTGTTCCCACCAGATGTGAGCCAAATTACGAAGGCACCGGTGGTCGAACGCAACTAGCCTCTTCATGTCCGCCGGTCTTAGGGACCAGATTTCACAACCGTACTGTAGGGTCGAACGTACCGCTGCATTGTACACTCTAAACTTCAGGGCAAGAGTGATGTCGCGCCGACGCCATAAGTGGCGAAGGTTAGCAAAAACGTTATACGGTTATACGGTTATACGGTTCGTGATCTCATCTTAAATCCCACGGGCGCTGATACAACTTCCCAGGTAGTTGAATTTTTGAACGACTTCTAGCAGATCCCCACCAAGGGTCAGCAAAGGAGGCGGTCCAGGCCAATCATGGAGGAACGCTTTGCACTTCATGGGTGCGAAGCAAAACCCGAGGTGACGAACAGCTAGAATTAATCTGTCCAGTGCCGCTTGGCACGTTTGTGAGCTGTCACAGATTAGGGCAATATCATCACCATACTCTAAGTCAAGAAACCGTTCTCCTGGGATCAGATCCATACATTCTAAGTCGTGTCCTGTAAACGCGATTTCCATGATTTTGTCAACAGCGAAGTTGAAGAGTAAAGGTGACAGCGGGCATCCTTGTGTCACACCGCTGAAGATATGGAAGAGCGAATACAGCTTGCCGTAAGCCCTCACTCTGCTCGAGCTACGCGCATACAATGCTCGGATAACATTTCATATTTCTCGGGCACATCTTTCCTGAGTAGACAGTCCCAAAGTGCAAGTCTATACACTGAATCGAAGGCATCTTTCATATCGAGGAACACGACAACGGTGGGCCGCCAATATGTGTGACGGCGCTAAACCAATTGAAGCAAGGTGCAGATGTTGTCAATGCAGCCACGACCTCAACGAAACCTGACTTGCTCTTCACGAAGCTGGCTTTCACGCCTGCCAGTCAGTCTGTGAAGGATTATGGAGGCGATAATTTGGAGGCGATGAAGATCAGACTGATTCATCCAAGATTGCCATATTCCGATCGTGAGCCTTCCTTGAGAATTGGGACTATGACAGAGCGGCTCCAGTCGGTTGGGACAGTTTCCTGCTCCCACAGTTTCACTACTAACTCATGTAAATCATCCACAAGAGCAGGTCCCCCGAGGAGGATGGAAGTGGAGCACACTGACTATTCCTTCTTAGTAGTACATTGAAGTGCAGTTATTCCTATTGCGTTTGCCTTGCCATCTCTAGGGCCAGGTACTCAACAACGTTAACACAAATGTGTGCTAGAAGTGCTCGGAAGATATTTCATGTCGTGGGTTGCTTGACACTTGCGTTTGAATTACGCCTCGCCACTCTAGTTATTATCTTTGTTTACTTTGAAGTTAATTTTTAAGTCTTTGCTACATACCAAAATCTGTTTGTTTTTATCTTGTCTCCAGTTGGAGACAACTGGATAGTCGAGTTGGAACCGAAGTTTTGCGATCACCGGCCTACAGCTGGTGTCTGCAAAGGACGAAACATCAAGGTTTCAAGCTACAACTCAAATAGGATTAATGAGTCAAAGTACATGTGCGGCCCCTGTGTGGCTTAGTAGAGATCTTACCCGGCAACCATCTACCCATCCGCGCAGTGGCGAAATCATAGTCCTGGTTCGGCGCTTGTGCCATAGGTAAGCTGGTTCTATAGACGAAGGGAGGTAATCAAGTCAAGTAAACCCCTTTCAAGTCAACACCCATGAAGATTGATACTCAACCACAAACATAGGCGAACCGTGTTAAGTAACTCTATACGACATTTGGTCGATGAAAATTAAGCATGCGACGGAGCAAATAGTAGTAGCTGCAAACCGGGGAGTTGCAAATGGGCAAAGCATTTCAGCCTGCCACGGCTTCAAACGAACCAACGCGCCTCTCACATACTCATTGTGTTCACACCTGTGGGTTCTCCTACTAACCTATTAATCTGCAGATACCATCTTCCTTATTTGATTCCTATGAGTGTTGAGCTGTGACCCACTGTGGCTTAAGCACAATGGTCTAGGTTGAACAGATTGCACTCCCACAAAGAATCCCTTGTTCTTCCTTTGGATTAAGCTTGAAAGGCTCATTCGACTGTGAGGACTCAGTAAATATTGTGATGGTCTGAATGTTTGGTTTCCCTGTTGAATCATATGTATCGAGTGGGGACTTTTCCGACCACCTCTACGCTCTTTATAAGTTCTGGCTAAGCAGTAAAATTTGCAAAGCTGGTACGCATCGCCAATTAACAGTGATACGGTTAGCTTGTTACTATACAGTCGGCCGGTAGCCGAGTGGTCTGCACGTTTGCTTTGAAACCATAAGGTCACCGGTTCGAATTCGCGTAGGCGTGGACATCCTCGCGGTATACTCAGCCCGCGCGCGACTGGTGGTGGTCGCGTGGCAGCGAAGCGCCGTTACAGAGTTCAGCTGACACATTATTATTATTTTTTGTTACTATACAACATTGTGGTGATGTCGGGCTGACAGGATCATAGTAAATGTTAACCGATGCGTCCGTAATCAATCAGTTGATTAGATTGTTGGAACCAATGTGGTACGTTTCTTTCACCTTGTAAACGCTTCTAGAATTTTCCTGGTTGTATCGACCACAGTCTACGCCAATGCTTTACTGAAGCACCAAAACTAATCTATCAACAAACTGGGACCGATTTCAACAAAAGAAGGTCCCAAGTGATGGGAACTACAGCTGCCATCATGTACACAAACATGTAAACTATTAATTGACGCACTTACACCTCTGTATATGAAGGTTCACTGAACTGAATAGACTAGATGGTATGCGCGATGACCAATGCAAAATGAATACTGAATACCCTCCCGCATTACATCAACAGATACGACAACAATTCAACCGGATGTCTGATTACTTAACGAAGCACTCGCATTTATCATCAGCGGAGTTGAATAAACTGTTCCTAGAGGAAATCATGGTAAGTGTCATCAGGTGGCAGTTTTACAAAAATGGTGAACAAATAGCCTTGCGTTTTGAGTTATTCACCGCTAATCAGCTATTGCAATAGTCTTCTTGATCCATAAAAATACACTTTTCCGAATAACCGAGAACACCCATAGCTAGAGCTATAGAGGTGCATTCTGTGTTGTTTTCCGATACTTCATTGTCATACTTGGCACGTTATCGGCTCGGCCTCATGAGCTTGGTATGCTGAGCATCGTAAGAAAGTCAAGATCCGAATGTTTTTGATCCAGTTCTACTTTGAATACTAGGCTTAAAGGAAGTCAAATGCTTGCCAGTATTAAGCCCTTCCGAGGAATTCGACGTGCTTCAGTTGGAATTGGTTGTTTTCGACATCTATTTGCACGGACATAAGGGAGTTCTGATGGGGGCGACGAATGGCTAGGCTATGTTCAGGTACCCGTGTGCCAAGCTTTGTTCCATTCTACCCCACGTAGTGCCCGTCACAAATTCTGTTGAGCAACATGTAGATTACGCCGGATATTCCACTTGTTAAGGTTAAGTTTCACTTCGAAAGGTTGCTAAGAATTGCCTCCATTGGTTAATGGACAACCTTGATCCCACAACAGTCAATAAACGCCTGGCTGCCGACTCAGAGGTTCCGTTTAGATAAGGCAAAGCAGCTCTCTTTTCAACCATTGCGTTTGTTAGGCTGTGCTGCCTTTTGTTTTGTCAAGCAGTACAAATGTATATGGTGGATATGGGTTTCTTTTGAGCATGGTGAAGCGATAGTCTTCCTTCACCAACCTGAGCTCTGGTGTGCTAATTTGTCATCCTGTTCCTTTGAAAGAGTCCACACACAGCCGAGTTTGTGGACTGCCGGGTGATGGCTACTTTAGCTGTGGATCTCCTCCGTATGCGTTGCTTTTCAGTTGACCGTCCTTTCTAGTGGTCTAGACCAAGTCCTTCGTAGGAGAATCGCTAAAAATGCTCAGTGTCCATGTTGCTCTTCTTTTCTGGTTAATTGGGTACCAACGAACCCGCCGTTGGTTGGCTCGCATGTTTGCTGTAGTTTGGAAAGCATGAGGACGATTAGGTGGTTATCTACGCAGTGCATATAAACTTTTAGTTTTGCTGTTAGGAGTGCTATCCGTTACAGTGTCTGCATCGCTGCCTCGATTACCAGTCCAGAGATCGGCGATCCCTCTTATCTGCTAGTAAATTTGGGCTTTGCATTGAACTGTGATTTTAAACAGAATGCAAGCAAGTTCACCAGTTAACACTCGTCAAGTTTACTAGTCGTATCGCGTTTTCCTAGTAGGAGGGCTATTGTTTGTTCCGCCAATTCGATGTGCATTGATGTGAATAAACCCGTTACATCAAAATATGTCATTATTTCGTCCCGTTTTAGTGGTTGTGATTTTGAGTTTTGCAAGGCTACACAGCCTAGCCATTCGTCGCTACGATCAGAAATTCCTGAGGTCCAGTACGTATAAATGCCGATAACAAACAGTTTCACTTAGAGCACGTCGAAGTCCTCGGAAAGTCAAAAAAGCCGGCAGGTATATGAGTTCTTTGATGACTGGCATTCGGGGCGAAACTGTATCAATAGGCACTTAGATCACAAAGTCGTTTATGAGGTTCTGCTAACCAGGTTCTTAAAGCCTTGCTGATAATTTTGCCTAGTCTAGCAGCGAATCGTCTGCGCGATGTTCATCTAACTTGAAGAACAGCACAACAGCTACAAGTGCTACTGATTTGAGTATTATCTATCATGACGGTTAAACCAACGCACGAACCATGGAGAATAGTTGCCTGTACTTCATTGTCACACTCGCGTTTACCCACTGCCTATCCTGACAAAGTTAGCCGGAAGCTTTATGATGAATTCCCCGTTCACTTTGATTTCTCCTTCTCACAACAAGCGCGTCAATGTTGAACTACTAAGCAACCGTCGCGAAATTATAACCCTAGCCTACAAGCTGCGGTTGACGGAGGCGGCAAAGAATCGTCATGATCAGCTCACGTGGAGTGAAGGCTGTGGAAGATGGCGAAAAATCAACGTCGATCACTGTATAAAGGAATTGAAGTGAGTTTTCTCGAGTTTGTCACTCTGTACTGCAATGTAGCAACGGTTAAAGAGAAGGTGAAAAAGTACGAAATATGGGAAAAAGGACAGTAACAATGTGTATGCCTTAGGTGATCAAGCAAAGTGGTAAATCAGATCCACTGAAAGGCACATTGAACAACAGTTCCACCAAATGCTCTGCTTAGTAACCCGCTGCTTGGTCTGTAAACTATAGCTCCGTCCCATCCACCTGCGGCCAACAATCGTAGTGTTTTTGGACATCCGAGCGGCGTTTGATTCAGTGGATAGATCTGCATTGTGGAACTGTTTACTGAAGAAAGGTGTGTCCGACAATTTTGTAACCATCCTGAAAGAATTTTACAACCACACGTCGGGCAAAGTCAGGGTTACGGAAAGCTCTCTTCTTCGTTTGCTTTGACCAGCGATGCTCGCCAAGGTTGCTCTATTTCACCTTTCCTCTTCAAGTTTGCGATCAAAGATGTCGTCCAAGGAGCACTGGAAGGTGTTCAGAACTGCGGTGTTGAGCTCCTCCCTGGAGACGGAGTCACGGACCTGGACTACGCCGTTGATATCGCCTTGCTGGGGGAGAACCTACAAACCGTCCAGGGCGCTTTGGACCGTTTGGTGGTGGAGGCGTCTAAGTACGGCTTATGCTTCCCTCCGGGAAAATGTAAAACGCTGCTCCAGGATTGGCAGTTGTCTGAACCCGCGCTCACCATTGCTGGACATGTTCTGGAGCAATTCCCTTGCTTTACTTACCTAGGGAGTTGCATCACGGCTGGTGGCGGTGTTGGGGATGAAGTCACACAACGGATTGCAAAGGCCCGCCTTGCATTCAGCCAACCGAGACACCTATGGCGTCGTCGTGATATCAGTCTCAAGCTCAAGGGCAGGGTGTACAATGCTTCCGTCCGCGCAGTACTCTTCTATGGCTGTGAGATGGCCTATTCGCTCGGAAGACATGAAGCGGTTGTCAGAATACTGAATACTGAATACTGGTTGGAAGCAGCGAGTAGAACTTTCTCTGTGTAGCTGCATCATTCGTCGCTCTTGGACATTAACGTATTAATTATCGTTCCGCTCTTGATATTTTGCCTCTGCAAAGTGCTTGTCTAGAAGCTTCTTAAATTCGGCCACGCAGTTCGCCTCTGTTACCGGCTGCGGCAGGTTGTTCCAGGTATTCGCCACTCTACGTTCGAAACAGAGTTGGTGAGCTACCCGCTTCAACTGCGGTACGATAAGTTTGTACCGTTGTCCTCGCGTGCTGCTTGGTGTGCGCAGATGAAGCAGTTGTCTCAACATGGGGTATTCATTAAGATGTAATATCCGGTGCGTCATGATTAGGTCAACCCTCAGCCGACGATATGCTAGGGTGTACAGCCCTAGTTTCTTACATCGGTCTTCGTACGGTACACCTCCTAAGTTGGGAATCAGCCTGGTGGCTACATGCTGCACTCGCTCAAGCTTTTCTACCTCGCCCAGCGTGATGGGACAATATGCGGGAGAGCCGTACTCTAGCATTGGTCGTATTATCGAGACGAAGAGGCGAGTGGCAATCTCTTCGGACCAATTGCTGAAGCTGCGCCTGAGCGCCCAAAGCATCCGAAGGCCGTTTTGGTACAGCCTATTCGTGTTGTCAATGGACTTTAGGTCGCAGCGTGAGAGCACACCGAGGTCGCGCACGAAAGACGCGGGATGCAGCTGTTGACCAGCCACTGTGTACGTTCGGCTGTGCTCGCTGTCTACGAGGGATTGCTCGGGTGTGGTGGCAACACCACGTAACCATCGCAGAGGTCCGAGACAGAGTGCGCGGAGCGAGTAGTGCCATTCTTCAGAACATTATTCGCCAACACCGCATGCGTTGGCTCGGGCACGTATTGTGCATGCCGGCCTATCACCTTCCCCGCCGTGCGTTATTTGCGCTCCCCTTAAGCTATTGAGTAAAGTGCCGCAGTGGACAACCAATGACTTGTAGAAGGAGCGTGAGGAATGTAACTTCAAGCTAAGCATCCTTCGGACAGGTCCGTATTCCATGATGGGTACCACGCGATTCGGACTGCCAATGCATCGAAATCTTGGTGGCTATGGCGTGCAGCCAGCATCAGTGGAGATAGGGCTGTTCAAACATGTTATCTATTAGTTAATGTCTTATGGATCATAAAACTCCAAACTACTGCTGGTTATGACCTTTTCGCTTCCAAAGGCACAGAATTCATCATCTCGTGAAATTCGGAGTAAAATAGACAGACTGCTTTCGGATACATCTTATGATACCCTATAAGTCCGGCGGCGTGTTGTAAAATCTGAGTTATTGAAAAAATTGGCTTTCGGATTACCTATATATATATATATATATATATATATATATATATATATATATACGCGACATTTTTCGCCACACGGCCCTTCTGATTAGAACTGAATTTAGTTATCCAAATTAGTGACAGTTTGGTATATATATATATATATATAACATATATTTGCAACAGTCTATGAATAGACATTGCACCATCGGAAACCATGGAACTCAAAACAAGGTACAGAAATAGTAAAAGAAAACACAACACAACACAACAATGTCCACGGTTTCGTCAGAGGGCGAAATACTACCCGGTTGCCCAAGCCGAAGTAGGGTGTTGACTTAGGGGACACCACCCCGAGCCTTTGGCTGAATAGCCTGTCCGCAAGGCAGCGGAGCGAATTCAGGGAATCGCGCCCATTGGGAGCCGGTGACTGATTGATCAGTTCATACGCCTTTCGTTTGTTCCTTTGCCAAACAGGGGCTCAATGCTCCCCGAAATTACAGCATCAACTTGCTGGAATACAATGCTTCGCCAGGATGAAGCAAGGAGCAGTGACTTTATTTAGTGGCGAGTCAAGTCCGCCAAGTCACAGTGTTGTTAAACGGACATATGTGGCTTTTTATAGGGAGAACGCTTGCCAGGCGAAAGCCCACCACCTCCTGGAAAATTGCCGCCGAACCATTTGCTGGAACGGGAAAATCCCGAACCACCCAGCTGGCACCACGAGGAGGTTGTTCGGCAAGCCAGCCAGTTTGGTAGATACCACGTAATAAGTTATTGGTCCACTATATTCAAAGGCTCATTGTATTTATTGAATACTATCGATGGTGCTAACGCCTGAGTATGCATGTTTGCGCTCTGTTATGCTAATGTCCGTGAGAAATTTCGCCCCCTTTCAGTATCACTAGCGGTGTTTGACAGGGTTGCCCAGCCTCTTCATTCTTGTTCAACTTCGCCATGGACGAGATGCTGGATACTGCCCTGGATAACTCTGAGTCCTGCGGTGTTGAACTGCTCCCTGGTGACCGCCTTCGGGACTTAGAGTACGCCGATGACATCGCTGTGATTTGCGAGTCCTCCCAAGCCACCCAGCATGTGATGCTCAGACTGGAGATGTCCGCCGCCCAATTTGGGTTGAGCTTTGCCCCTTCAAATGTAAGGTCCTATTACAGGACTGGCCAAGCGCATGTCCTTCTCACATCCTTTCGGGGCATCCGTTGGAAGTGGTCGGCCAATTGATTCACCTTGGGAGCTTTCTTAGTATTGGCGGTTTGATAGATAAGATCACCCTGTGTGTCTCCAAGGCTAGAGTCGATTTCGCTAACCTTCGTCATCTGTGGCTTCGTCGTGATCTCAGCCTCGCTCTCAAGGGACGAGTCTATAATGCTACGGTACGAGCGATTCTGCTGTACGGCTATGAGACTTGGCCCGTTCGCAAAAGCGATGTTCAGCGGCTATCAGTCCTAGATCACCGCTGCCTGCGAAGCATTGCTGGTGTTCGATGGCAGCACCACATCAGTAATGAGGAAATCCGTCGGCAAGTCTTTGGATCTAACGAACTCCGCCGATCGATTGATTGCATCATCTCACTGCGGAGGTTCGCTGGCTTGGCCATGTGCTCCGCATGCCTATCCAGCGGCTACCACGACGCGCCCTATTTGCGAGCACAGGCGTGGCTTGGGAGCGACGAAAAGGAGGGCAATGTAAAACTTGGAACCAAAGCGTTAAGGCGCAAACATTGAAGCTGGCTGTTGTCGGGCGTTCCCGACTCCCGGGTTGGGGACCAAAAGACCCCGAGCACACCTGGTTGCAAACGTTGGAGGATGTAGCCAAGAACCGTATGCAATGGCGCACTTGCTGTGAGACACTTCTACCCTAACAGTTGTTTTCCCTTTCATGCGATCCTTTTTTTCTTTTTATGTGTTGTGGGACTCAGCCAATTATATTGTAATTGGTATAGTGTTATATATAATTTATATACATATATATATACATATATATATATATATATATGTTTTGGGGTTAGGGGAAAGAGTACTGAAAATGCAGTAATATCTGACGCGTTGGAGGCCGTTTGTTCATCGCATAGATGTTGTTTTTGCTCCTGAATTCCCATCTAGTTTTATTAGTGTGTACCGTGAGGTCAGGCTTCTCCTAAATGTATGAGGGCCGAATGAGTACACACACATTCAGTGGCACTTGCAGTTTCCCACAAGGTTGACTAGTTCCCCCTTGGATGCGCTCTCACATCTCTCCCGATCGATAAAAGGACACAATTCACTTCATTTGAACAGCTATGATTCATGCGTCGAAGTGTGGTGGATTCAACTACCTTGGGTTTCCCTGATCAGGATCATAATAATTGGCAGCGATGAAGAATTGAGTTAGAAAACAAATAGAGGCAATGGAAGGAGCTATGGAAGTGAGCTGAGATAACAAGAATGAAATGTTGTCAGTTTTACACATGAAAGCGAATACAGAAGCACTATGGGATTTATGACTAAGTAATGGCTAAGATCTCCAGACACTGATGTAATCCATCACGAGGACCTCATTCACGGAGATGACATGCTGATTCCTGTTCAAGTATTGCTTTTGTACCACGCTTGCGACAGGCCGCTTTGCGATTTCGTTCAACTTGTCGCAACCACAGCAAATAAGGCACAAAGTGAAAGGCGGTGACCAACTGACGTACAAATGATGACCTGTCAAACGTAAGTGATGCAATTTGAACGGGCACTCTAGTGAACTTAGAGGGCTTCTTCGTCAACAAAGGTGGGCACCCAAACGTCCCATTTCGTCACGCTTTCGGTCACTTGCAAGCAGAAAAAGAAAGCCTGAAAATAAATAGTGTGGTGTTACTTTATTATGAACAATTAACAACGATTTATAACGGGTAAAAAGCAGGTGGTTGACATGTCCCGCAGGGTGTTTAGCGTGACAAAAAGATAGTGAAGGGATAATGGCGTCGTCAGTTCGGGCGGTTAGAGGTTTAACTGCAGTGTCGTACAAAGGGAGTTTGAAATGAGAATGTAGGCACATAAAGCATTAAGGAGAGTGGTTATTGATCACATAATAGGCGAGAAAAATAAAAAAAGCTAGCAAGGACAACGTTTACTCGTGTGCAACTATCTTGGGTCGACAGGATACAGAAATCCAGTTTCTATAGTAGTAGCGTTTATCAAATTTCGTGCAAGGCGTTTGGAGTGACTCATTCTCGAGTAGGGTTATGACACTATCCCCTGTCTGTTGTGCATTAGTGCCAGCATCTGGTGGTCATGGGCTATAGCATGTAGTGTAAATGTGACAGAGTATCATCAAGGCGATTTTTGTAGGAATTCATCACCACGGTTGACACCATTACTCTTTACCTATAAGTTGATCGATTTTAATAAAATTCGTGCATCCAGTCGGTGTGAAAGTCCTATAGGTTGCCGCTGAAGGACTAGTTTTTGTGTCCATGGCCGTCCCAGTAAGACACATTTGAAACTGTTTCTGGCCACTCAAAAGCATTTTTGATGTAGACTTACTTCTTCCGTACTGCGCTAGATAGATTTGGGTTTGGTTTTTTTTAACGTGTACAGTATTTGCGGCCGGTAAAATTGCATTCACTTCATCCGCTAAGGCACCGCTCGAAAAGTGTTTTTGGGTTACCGTTATTCGTCCCAGGGATCTTTTGGTGGCATTTCAAGAGGACCTCGGCTATTCGGAACAATCCGTGTGAGTGTTCCAATCCAGGAACCAACACGCTGTTCCCCTACGAAGAGCGTTCGGGTGGTTCGACTCTTTCGTCTTCAATAAATCACGGGCAATGCTGGTCTTCAGCAAAGCAAAGATTCCCATGCCATTAATATGAATCAATATCGGAAATCAGTTCAGGATGAAGAACTCTTTTCGGTAAACTCTCATCGGACCCAAACGTTTTCATAACACTGATTGTGGCTAAGCATCAACTCGGGCTGGGATTGACTTCTGGACTGTTGGAATGGTCAAAATCGATAACTCGAAACAGTGATAGAGATGGTAAACCAAGTAAACTAAATACACATGCATACGCAAAGCTCAGTAGTCCAAAGTAATTAAGTAGGTAAGATAACAGCCAAATAACTAAGTAACGGTGTCCGTTGGCCAAGGTGGTAGTATCGGCCGTATGAATCTCTTTTGTGCACATAATTCCGGCTTCAGATGGTGAATGTAGATAGCCTCGGCGATGGATAAGAGCTGTTTGCGGAATCCTTGGGAGAAGTGTTCAGGTAGTAAATGACTTTGAAGTCATTCTCTGAAGCTGTATGGCCACATTCAATGATGTGCGACATGATTGAACTGTCTGAAGACTTCATTTCGCCTATGTAAAACCATGCCGGGATGTGTTCACGAATCCTCTGAGATAGGCGCCTGGTCGTGCGACCCACGTATCGTGCACCACAGGCGCACGAGTACTGATAAACGATCATTGCACGGGTTAACAACGGTAGTCTATCCTTCAAGGGTTTCGTAAGCAACGGCTTATTGTGAAAAACGATTCTCAGGCGGGCCGCGAAATAAGTTTTCTCGACAGCATCTATCAGGCGTCTGGATAACATATCAGCTGCAGAATCACCTTTAAAGGGTATATGTATGAAAAGCTTTTTCTTCGGAGCAATGCTCCTAGGTGACTTTTGATTGCGTTCCTTCAAATGTTTCATGATAAATTTATCAATATAGCCATTTTCCCTGAGGGCGTCGCTGATTCTCTGTAGTTCTTTGTTGTCGGTATCAGGTGAACAAATACTGCGCGAACTGAAGGTGAGAGATCTGCTTAAACTCCGCTTATGCTGTAGTGGAACTGCGCTGTGGAAGTTAATGTACTGCCCAGTCCATGTGCTCTTTCTGTGTACCTTTCTACTTCATGATCCGTCCGAGTTACGGATAACCTCTACATCCAAGAAAAGTAACCGGTTTCCGAGTTCGTGCTCACAAATGAAATAGAGATTTTTGTGTGCGTCATTGAAAGCTTTCAGTAACTGTTCTGCATGCTTTTCGGATTTGCAAATACGAAGGTGTCGTCAACATACCCTACGTACATTTCGGTTTCACGGATGTATGTTGCAAGTGGGCCATGTTCCAATTTCGCCATGAAAATGTCAGCCAGCAGTGGCCCCAAAGGAGATTCCATGGCCACTCCGTCAATCTGACGGTACATTTCACCACTGAAGGTGAACTGAACATTTAACGTGCAACAAAGTAGCACCTCCCATAGAGAATTCTTCGGAAAAGTTCCGTATATGGGCAGTTGCCGTAAATGCCCAGTGCCTATGTGAAGTCCAATGTAAAGTACACGATTCAGTCTTGGTAATCCGGGCTAAAACGTGATCTCAATGCACTAGAGATCCCACTGGGAAAGGCAGCCATAAACCTTAAGAGGTTACTTCATGTATCATTTTGGCTATTGTTGAAAGCCCTAGCAGTGCACGGCGAGTTAGCACGGTCCACAAGTGGACCTTATCCTGACGTGTACAATTCTGTAACACCCTAATCACGAATGCCGCCACTTCCTAAAACGTAACAGCTACACAATCTAAGGGGCCACTAGCTGAAACTGGTTATCCAAAACAACTTGCTAGAATTCAGCGGGGAATATTTTCCATCAGAATACCTCAGCTGTGGAAAAGCTTTTGCGATGTCACAGGCGAATTGCATTCGGCCCTTGTTCGTTTCGACACCGGTTGAGTTTGTCAACCGGACTGTTACTCGGGTGCACGACGACGTAAATGCCGACTTAACTTTCTGACTGGTAGGTTAACTTGGCTCTTGAAGCAGTGTGGGCAGCAATGTTAAGGAATAAATCACCACGTGTTCTGAGATTAGGTCTCCCAAGAAGAAATTTTCAAATCTCGCATACGCAGACTAAGAGATTGAACAACCTTAGAGGTTTGAGATAGCATCAGTTCGGTGAATGGTTTACTCAGTGTCACTGCAACAGACAACTTTCCATAATTCTCTACCGGTGAATGTTGTCTGTCTTGGTGCGATCATCGTCCTGTAGAAACCATTGTATCAACTCTTCAGTTAGGGGTAGGTTAGCCATATTTCTATGGGTGTTGTTCCTAGTGAGACATGATAATAAAGTGGTATCCACTAGAAAATATTTATACTTAATGGGGCTCTACACGTAGCCTAAGCTCATACATACTATATTAACTTTTTTCCTTTTTTATTCACAGAAATAAGTTGCTAAGTGATGAGTGTTGCTTCCCTGGCACTGTCCAAACGTTGGTGAATCAACTGACCGAGAAACACACGGAACTGAGACAAAAAGAGGAGACACTCATCGCTGAGCTCTGGTACGTTTTTGTGATACCATGTAAGCCAGTTCAGGTTACACTTATCTAAGTCATGTACTGAAAAGCACACTTCTGTTTTCTTTCGTCTCCACTTTCTCAGCCAAAGCATGATCCCTCCCACGTTCACATCTGATGTGATACAGCAGTGGACTGAGCAGGCTCGTACAATTTATCTGCGTTGGGGTAAGAATGCATTTCACGCCATCGAAACTTTTCGACTTTACGGTCTCATTTCTGACCTTTATATGTAGTTCCGAACATATTTTCACTGCAGTGTGATAGTCAGTCATGTAGCAACTTTGGATTTAACGAGCGGTTTCCAAGCAAACGAATATTAGACTTACGGTCATAAACCACCTAGAACCATTGAAGATGATATTGAGAGTACACGAATTTGTACTTCCTACGATAGACATATTGCCAACATTATGTGAGGGATAAAACGCAATCGCTAGACCCAATGGTCTCATCATCATCATCGTCATACACATTAGCTAGAGGTGGGAAACACCTCAGCTACTGTGCCGCAATACATAAAGGAAAATGAAAATAAATACAACAGTTGCATGCCAACTGAGCCACCGGGAACGGATGGGCATCATTCCGGTAAGCTACCAGCCGGCGACTATACAACAACAAATACTTACCAGGCAAACATTACTTAAGACTAAGTAGTGGGATCGTGATTGGAGAGTTAGACTAAGAGGGATGGAGTGGGACAAAGACACTCACAGCAGGAACCCCACTGAGGGCGGCTCCTAGCCATATCAGCAAGTGTATCCAGTCAAATGTGTTCATCTTCTTTCGCACCCCAACCACGAAGCCGAGACGCTCCAACCGAGGCTAACTTCGAATTGAAGGCCTTCATTCTCCTGGACCAACTCATCGTTTGGCTATCCCTCCTCCTCTTCCATCCACACCCTCTGTCGCGCAAACAACGCACGTCGCGGAAGTCGGTGGACTGGCATGCGTAACACGTGGTCGAGCCATCGGAGCCTGGTGCGTGAAATAACGGTGCTGAGCGGTTCAAATTCTTTCATGTGCCATAAATGAGCCGTCGAATAGGTTCGCTAGTCACGCGGTGTCCCCACCGGATGTGATCCGAATTGCCAAGGCACCGGTGGCCAAACTTAATCAGCCATTTTATGTCCGCTGATCTAAGGGCCAGGTTTCACCACTGTACAGTAGGGTCGAACCTACGGCTGCATTGCACACTCTACACTCTAGGACGAGAGTGATGTTGTCCCGGCCCCGTAAATGACGAAGGTAAGCAAAAGTGCCTCGAGCTTTTACTATACGGTTCGTGATCTCATCTTCAATCCCAAAGACGCTGATAAAACTTCCCAGGTAGTTGAACTTCTGAACGACTTCTAACACATCCCTACCAACGGTCAGCGTAGGATGCGGTCCAGACCAAGCTTGAAAGAACGCTTTGCACTTCGATGTTGCGAAGCAAAGGCAGAAATGACGGACAACCAGTGCTAATCTGTCCAGTGCAGCTTGTCATGTCTGGGAGCTATCCCAGATTTGGGCAATATCGTCTGTATACTCCAATTCAAGAAATCGTTCTCCTGGGAGCAGCTCCGCCCATCCCAAGTCGTGTCATGTGAACGCGCTTTCTATGACTTGGTCAATAGCGAAGTTGAAGAGGAAAGGTGACAGCAGGCATCCTTGTCTCACACTGCTGGAGATATTGAAGTGTGGTGACAGTTTGCCGTAAACCCTCAGTCTGTCTGAGCTACGTGCATATGATTCTCTGATAATGTTTACATAATTCTGGGGCACACCTTTCCTGAGTAGACAATTCCAAAGGGCACATCGATCAACCGAATCGTATGCACCTTTGAAATCGAGGAACACGACTACGGTGGGCCGTCAATATGTATGAAGGTGCTCCACCAACTGACGCAAGGTGAAGATGTGGTCAATACAGTACGACCTCGATGAAACCCGGCTTGCTCATCATGAATATGGTTTCACAAATGCCAGTCGATCTCTGAAGGATTATGGAGGCGAGTAATTTGGAGGCGATGGAGATCAGACTGATTCCTCAATGATTGCCGAATTCCGATCGTGAGACTTCCTGGAGAATTGGGACTATGACAGAGCGGCTCCAGTCGCTTGGGACAGTTTCCTGCTCCCACAGTTTCACTAGCAACGCGTGTAAATCATCCACAAGAGTACGTCCCCCCGATTTTTAAGAGGGCTGGACGAAGATCAGCTGATCCCGCGGCTTTGTTCAACTTAAATAGTCCGATCTCACGTTCGACTTCCAAACAAAAGAGTGGATCCAAATGGACAGCACAAGGAGCGGGGCGCTCAATGGCCGTCAAGAAATCTAACAATTCCGACCGATTAAATTGCCTTTCAAAGTGCTCAGCCCAACGCCCCAAACACTTTGACAAATTGTGGATAGGCTGGCCACTCTCGTCACGTATATTTTCACTAACACCAGGTCTCCTGCTGCCCGGTTCCCGTATCAGACGGAATAACTTACGATGGTTACCAAGGGCAGCGGCCACTTCCATTTCTGACGCACGAAGAGACCACCAACATCCGCGGTCTCTCTTCAGGCTAGCACGGAGTTTTGCCCGGAGCTATTTGCGGGTTTCATTGTGTTCGCTTCCAGCTGGAATGTGCCAAGGAGCATCGATAATTTCCCGAGACTGCAAAGAGACCTAATGTCCATGTTGGCTATTAGACTTACCACATGAGGATTTTCCTGCTGCCAGTAAGGTCTGGTAAATATGAGACCAGTGAGCTTCAATTGCATCCAGTGAGCGGTTATACAAATCGCATATCGGCCCACATTGATAGGCATTCAGAACAGCTGGCTTTTTCAGTTGGCTGGTGTCAAAGCGCTCACAGCGACGTCGTGCGCGTCCGCCAAAACGCATCCGCATGTCAACACATACAAATGCATGATCCATGTCCACACATGTGCTTCAAATTCAGCGACAGTTCTGGACGCAGCCACTCCAGCGGTAACTTATCGCAATGTGATCGATTTGCGTCCAAAGCTGGTTCGAGGTCGGTGGGCGCCAAGTCACCCTCCGGCGGGTGCAGTGTGGGAACTTAGTGCTCGCAAGAAATAAGCGGGCATATTCACACAAATCTATTAACCGCACACCGTTATCATTACCGGAGCCTACACCGTGCTGACCACCCAGACGCGTTTCATCAATGGGCACATTTCTAACATGAGCGTTCAGATTCCCAGCCGGTACTACAGTGTTCGAGCATCTTCTGTGGCGAAGCAGCTCGTTCAGTTGGGTGTAGAAGTCATCTTTTACCGAATAATCGCTAGAGTTTGTGGGTGTGAAGGCAGCGATGATGAATTGATACCTGTCAGTCCCGCGCGACTTCGAAGCTTTGAACGAATCAGTCAATCGGACCGCACACATCCGGCTACTGATGGGAATCTAAGCAACCATCAAAAATTCAGCTCTGTGACTCAGGGCAATAATAACACCGGCTTAGCCGAGGCTCGAAGCTGCATCGTTTCCGGGATAGACGCAATGCGAAAATGCTGCTGGTGTCACCTGAAGGGGATCGCAGAGTGAGCACAGAACTCGAGTCTTGCAAGCCGGTCTACGATAAGCAGCAGATTTCGATCGAGAGGGTCTCCCATGTTCGGGATTGTGTCGCGTGTTGCCCGATCTGTAGCAATGTGCGTACATTGAATCATGCCACTCTGAAGGAGGATCGAGGGCTCCAAATGGAAAGCAATGAACTGGAGTGGACCGCTTGGTTGGACATGGACTTGTCGACAGGACAGGAGTGACGCTCTGCGTTCACATGTGAGTTGAAAATAGGAGATAAACGCCTAACAAAGTCAAGTAGCGGAAGACCAAGAAGTGGGGGTTGAAAAAAGGGGAGAAAAGTGACGCTGGAACGACGAGAAGGATGAAAAAGCGTGAGCTGGTGAATTAAAAGACGGGAAGGCTTGCGCAGTAGCATTCAAACCCCTATCCACCCTGCTCGATGCAGCAGATAGGGCACCGTAGATTCTCCTCTGCGGTGGCGAGAGAATCAGGAAATGGTTTGGAGGGGAATCATTGTTTTGCGTGGGCAGGATACTGTCAAGTTGCCCAGGCCTAGACAGGAGAACGATTAGGGCTGTCAACAAAAACCTTTGATTTAAAATCCTGACTGCAAAGCAGCGGGTTTGGCGTTGGGCTACAAGGAGTCCGTTTTATGGAGTAAGGAGGTACCCTCATTCCAACACCCAACTTTCAGGGTCAAAAGACTGAGTTTGCCTGGTCTCTAACCATTGACCAATCTAGTATGAGTGGCTCTGAAGGTGCAAAAGCACCACTCAGCGTAGCTCAGTGGATTTCTGAAGCACGCCAACCATCGCACCACGGTAAGGCCCTGCCTCATTGCGATGGACCCAAGGGGCTAGTATAGATGGAAGAGAATGAGAATGACAAACGTTGTTTGTGTCAACTGGTATGCTCCATTCGAAAGTAACCCACTGACTGAAACTAGCGTAGACGAGCAGCACACATTAAAAGAGGAAGCCAATCAAAACAGTACAGTTCCTGATGAAAGAAGCCAAAACTATTAGCCACATTTGAGCCACGTGTCCTGAGAGTTGGATGATGATGTGCAATCAGTTTGTTGGGATGCAGCTGTGTCTGCGATTCGAAGTCCGTCGCAGTAAATGCAAATATTGCTGCTTCATATCCAAGAGTCGGACGTTGCGTCATTCACTATAGCAAAAGCTCGAAGTGCTTTTGCCAACCTCCGCCACCTGTGGCGCAGACGCGACATTACTCTCGCCCTGAAGGGCAGAGTTTACAACGCAGCCGTCCGTTCAACTCTCCTATATGGCTGTGAAACCTAGCCCATCAGGTCGACAGACATGAAGTGGCTCGTCATATTCGACCATCGCTGCCTTCGCAGCTTAGCTCATGTCTGGTAGGAACACCGCGTGAGCATTGAGCGTGTTCGACGTCGCGTATTTGGTGCAGGAAGCGCGCGTGAACCGCTCAGCACCATTATATCACGCACCAGACTCCGATGACTGAGCCACGTGTTGCGTATGCCAGCACAGCGACTCCCACGACGTGCATTGTTTGCGCGTTGTGGGTGCGGTTGGAAGAGGAGGAGGGGAAGCCAAGTGATGACTTGGTCGAGAGAAATGAAAGCCCTCACTTCGAAGTTGGCGTCGGTTGGCG